TGGTATGCCAGATTACCACTCCAGCCATGGGTGTAAAGTTTTAAGTAAATAGTAAATAAAATTTTATTTATGTAGCACCTTTCTAGACAGAATCAAGTGCGGCACATAAGATAACAATTCATAAAAGGTAAAACAGACAATATAAAACAGGCAAAAATTAACCAAAAGCAATTTTAAAAAGAAGAGTTTTGAGTTGGTTTTTTTTGCTCTTAGTTCTCATAAGCTCCGCTGAATTATTCATGATTTTCATAAATCAAGATCTTCAGTGGATTCAGTCGATTTCTCGTTGAAGTCATGATTGTGTTGCTTCACCAGCAGTTCCCCTCTGTGATCAATGGAGATTCAGTTAACTAACGGTGGGGTCACTGCTCCCCCCATTCATAGCCTTCTATTAATGGTCCATGAATAACTCAGCCCAAAAAGGTTTTAATACCATAAGGACCTTCACCCTTGTTACGTGCCACCTCTTTGGTTCCATTACCTTTGAATCATTTGCTCTAATTATCAGCTCCACCTCAGCGTCAGAATTTCCACAGAGTTTAAGTGTGGCCAAGAATGTAATTCTTCCTGTCGTGGGATGTTATCATGAGTCACTGGCATCCTACAGTTCAGACAATTCCTTATAAGTGTTGCTGTTAAGTGGGGGGGGGTTGGCCTCCAATTTATAATTGTCTTCACACAGTATAGAAGATACTTTAATTTGCTTCTCAGGCAGATTTCGCTTTGTTTTTATTTGAGTTGCAGCTCTAGAATTAACAATAGCCACAGAAGGAGTTTCATGCCTTCTGATGCAAACACCTGATGGAAACACCTACACTGATGATCTCGTTGGGCAGCTTTATAAGGAAGCAGCAGTGAATACGTGGGATCATTACCCTAACAGCAGTCACTAAGGGTCATCACTTCACAAGTTGTGAAGTAGAAGATTTATGAGTAAAACCAGTTTGTCCCTGTGCACTGGATTGGGAATTTAAAAAACATCCAGTGGTGAGCTGATGTGGTTGTGATTTCTGGGAGAAGGTTGTCATTGGAGAAGGGAGCCGGAGATCGACAGACGGATTGGTGCTGCACCGCTCCGTCATGGTGAAGAGGGAGCTGAGTGTAAAAGCGTAGCTCTCAATTTACCGGTTGATCTACGTCCCTACCCTCACCTGGGCTTCTCTGCTTAGGCTGCTGCCCACGCGACCCGGCCCCGGATAAAGCGGAAGAAGATGGATTGATGGGTGTCATTGTCTGAATTAAGTTTTGAGGAGACTGGCCCTTCCTGCTGTTCAGACCTTTTTGAAACTGTGTTTCAGTCTTATTCTCTGTAAATAAAGCACCTTATTCACTTGGAGCCCAGAGTCTTGCCTGTAAATAGGTCTCCATAACAAATGCACACTTGTCTTTGAATGAAATGAACAATATCATTGAAACCAGTTTGGTGATTATATTTTTTCTGTAACTCATAAGCAGTTTCTCTCTAACTCTTCCTAAACATATCAGGTAACTTTAAGATTATGGCATTCATATTGGATGGCATAGTCATTTCTGAAAGAAAAACCAATGGCATTACAGCATGCATGTCAAAACAAGACAAAAGCCTTCAAGACTTATGCTCAGGCTTAATTGTCAGCCAACCAAGTGTTTTCTTCATATTTGCAGTGCCTTTTTATGCTCATTTCCAAAATATTCTAAAAGCATCTTTGCTCTTTGATATCCCGTATCAGCTGGCATGTGTTGACAACTCTTGAGAAATTCCTTAAGCTGTCTTCGGGTATATTGCTGCAAGAAAAACAAACAATCCACACTGCTTACAGCCGTACCTTCGACACTACTCAAAAATTCTGATAAATGTTCTGTACTCAAGGTTTTCATCAAAGATGGGTATGTCTCTGTGCAGCAATGACAATGAAGACTGATGTTAAAATAACAGAGCTGTAATGCTCATTTCCATGATGTTCATTCATTTCATTCATTAAGATTGCTTTGATCAACATTTGGCTGTATAGGCAAAGGCATCCTTACAAAGACCCAAGACTGTAACGACAAGCTGACAAACATGTTTTACCAACAACAATGGAAATGCTGTCATTTGGTCCAACATCATCATTACCCACATTTATAGTTGGCAACCTTATTATCACAACATCCATTGTTATCACTATCATGATTATCATAGGCTTTGTACTGGTTTTTGACATCAAATAGCCACTTTCCTATTTTGCGCAATATCTCTTTATTACTGTGCATTTGAGTTTCAAACCATTCATTTGTTTCAACATTTTCAAAAAGCTTCAAATGCTTTCTGTTTGGCTGACCTTTACCAGGTTCATTGTCCACTGTGAACAGCAGTTTTTACATCATTATAATAATGAATTACTGCAAAATCCTTTTTTAAAAGTTGTGAGAGGATTTAAATGTCCTTGTTGTAAGAAGGTCAATCTCTTCCAAAGATCTTGAAACAACTTTAATCCTACCGTGACTCCGTGACTTCAATGGAAGTTCTAGGGAGTTACCATGTCGGACAGATCCTTCTCAAAGAATACGTTTTTACATTTGTCAGTGACACTTTTTAACTTGATAGATAAAGTTTATACAAAAGTCACTCTGGCAAAAACTGATTGCAGCTTCCATCTTGTCACAGGAATGTTGTTTGTGGCTCATGATGACTTGTTATCATCCATGCATTTGACATATGTTTCGCATATTATGGGCCAAAAAATCATTTACAGCAGTTTAAATACTGGAATTCACTTTCTGGCACAACACCTGTTGTACAGAGATTTTGAAACAGTGTAAAACCCATCTTCACAGTGACACCTGCTGGGCAATTTGGCAATGGGCACATCTTTTAAAAAAAAAATTCATACACAGATTTACATAAAATCTGTGTAAAGGTACAAAATGAAAACAAAAACTAGCAAGTCTCTGGGACAATTTTACCAAAGCGACAAAGGGTATCTATATCGCTCTTATAATTTTGAAAAGAGCTTTTCAAAAGGTGTTGATTGTTATACTCTTTAAATGTAATGAAGGTTAAGGTGTCAAAAAAATAAAAATAAGGGAGAGCGAGCAGCATGATGGGTTGGGGAGAACACACATGGAAGTACGAGGGAAACACAGGAACAGAAATGGGAGACAAGATATGGACATGATGCGACATGACAGACTCAAATAGGAAACAGGGAGTGACATATCTGCAAAAAACATGGAAACAGAAATATAATTAAAGATAGAAGCAAAACCAGGACTAAACTCAATACTAAATGACAGAAAACTAAAACATTAACACAAAGAAATCACAAAACAGCATAAACTCAAAATGCCGGGTCAGTTGACCCAGAACAATGACATAGTTAGACTTGTATTATTGACTGATCCACCTCATGTTGTGTAGCCTTCTGAATTGTATACTTATTGGGCTACATGCTTGTTTATTACATAGGATATAC